TTATTTGGATAATTCCCTTGGTTTCTAACTAGATGTCAGGGGTGTTCTTCTCCCTTAATTTCCTAAATGTCCTGTTCTTAAGATTGTTTTTTTTGTGGGGCCCTTCTCTCCTTAGGGTTTCTTAAAAGTTTTGAAAATCTTGCATGAAAATGTTAATAGCTTGGTCTCTAACTAGCCTCTTTGTGGGCTGCAGGTGAGAGCCACTTTGGAAAAAGTAAGGAAGCGAATGTATGGAGACTATGATGACATGAGAAAGAAGATTCGAGAACTCACCAAGGAACTGTCAGTAAGTTAATATCTCAGTGACTCGGAAATATGGACGCACGGTAGAGCTCAGAACTGTCTCTCAGTGGTGTTTTTAATAAATGGAATTGCATTTTAAATGAACTGAGGGAATTTTATCACAGAATGAAGTTTGTTATCTAAAGGAAAATTTTTGTGGCAAGAATAATAATCTTTATATTTGAAGCACTCCCACCAAAGTCAGGAACAAGACAAGAAAGTCGGCTATCACCATTATTATTTATTGTACCTGAGATGCTAGTCAGTGGAATTAAACAAGGGAAATAAATTTAAAGGTTTAGAAAAGGGACAGGTAGATGTAAAACTATCACTGTTGACAAATTATATTATATACCTGGAAAGCCCAAGTGAACCAATGAAAAAAACTACTATAAACAATAAGAGAATTCTGTAAGGGCAGGGTATAAAATTAATATGTACAAAGAGGTTTCCGTAGACAAACAAACAAACAAAAAAACAGCTAGAAGAAAAACAGCAACAAACAATATTAAATATCTAGGAGTAAACTGTAACAAATGGAAAGACACATCGTGTTTAGAACGGAAAATTCAACATCGTAAGATGTCAGTACAATTGGGGTTAATGTACACATTTATATGACTCAATAAAAACAATACCAATAAGATTTGGTTTTTATTTTGTTTTTTACAACTGGATTAGCTGATTCTTAGGTTATATAGAAAATAAATAAAAAGAGCTAAGAAAATTCTGGGGAAAAAAGAACATTGAGAGGGACTACCCCTATCAAATGTTAAACTGGAAAAGCCTCAGAGATTAAAACAATATAGTATTGGAACATAAGCAGACAGATATAAGTGAAAAAAATTCCCGGAATGTACCCTAGTGTATGACAAATGTAGCATCTCAAATAAAGGAGAAAAATGTACTTGTCTCAGTATATGTTGTTGGTACAACTTATATGCTATTGGGACAGCCTTGTACCTGGACAGTCTCCAAATGGAGCAAAGATTTAAATGTTAAAAATTAAACTTAAAAGTGTTAGTAAAAAATACATGTGAATTCATTTATACCCTTGGGGTGGGAAGGCCTTTTCTTATTATGATATAAAATCCCAAAACCATGAAAGAAAAGGTTGATAACTTTGACTACCTTAAGATGAAAAATTTCAGCTGGTAAAAGTACCCAACTCAAACTCAAATGACAGACTGGGAAAAATTATTTTCCTTTCTTATCATAGATAATAAGCTAATTTTCTGAGTATTTAAAGAGCTCTTACGAATCAAGAAAAAGCCACAACTCATAAAAATAGGTGAAAGATTTGTAACTGGTAATTTATAGTAAAGGAAACATGGAGAGCTTTTAAATGTATGATAAGATGTTCTGCCTCACTCGCAGTAAGAGAAATGCAGATCAGAACCATCCTGAGATATAATTTTTATCTATTAGACTGGCCATACTGCAAGAGTGGTGCAAGATACTGTCAACGGTGCTGTGAACAAACAGGCAGGTTGCTGATGGGAATGCAATTTCGTATTGCTCTTAGGGAGAGCAACTTGGTGATATTTATCAAAATTACAGATGCCTAGATTCTTTGGCCCAGCAATTCTATTCCTAAGAATTTGTTCTACAGATAGACTCTCACATATGAGAAATAACATCTGGATGAAATTATTTATTATAGCATTGTTTGTAATAGTAAAAAGATTGGAAACTTAAACATCCATCAAGAAGAAGGTAACATAAATTTTATCTCTGCAATAGAATACACACAGTTGTGAAAGAAATAAAAAGGTCAAGTAAGCCCTTTAAAAAGAGATATGGAAAGATTTCAAAGATACAGAGCAGGTGAAAAAAAGCAAGATGCAGGAAATGTGTATAATTTGATACCATTAGTATAAAATAGAGATAAAAACATATCAGGATTGTTCTGCGCGTGCACAGAGAGTTGCTAAACGATAATCTGAAAAGTAATTAGCAGTGGTTCCTAATTGGGGGATGGAGTGGGCAGGATGGTAACCCAGCAGATGAGGTAGGTGTGATAGGGTGTACCTTTTATACTTTTGAAATCTTGGTACCATGTGAGTGCATTTCCTACTCAGAATTTCAAGAAAAATAACCTTCCTCTAGTTTAACCAAGCCAATGCTTTTGTGGACATTTGAAAAATATATTATTAGTAATCCTAAAGATAAAAGTCCACATCTGTATGACATACCTTTCATAAGAGTTAATATCTGCAGGAAAGAAGGGCAGTTACAGTAGTCACACATTAGGGTTCAGTGTATGGCTAGGCTGTGAGATTATCTGCTTAAGTAAGACCTATTGCCTTGATTATAGGAGTGGGGCGTATATAAACATACCCACCCAGCCCGTTCTCACTGGCATGTAGGAGATTTGTGAAATTCTAACCTATTTACGGAAATTCACTCTGTCATCCAGACACTAATGACTGTCATCACAGCCAAAAGATTCGATTTGCCATAGGTGCATAAACAAGACTCCACCCTTTGCTTTCCATTGCCATCTCCTACACACCCTCATTTTCTCATGCTAGAACTGTCCCAGGAACCCCGTCTCTCTGCCTCCATGTCTCTTTGTTCTCCAGGCCATCCTACATACTGCAGCCAGATTAAGATTGTTAAATTCCTGCCACATAAACATGCCCCTGAACAAGAGCCTGCCACGTGTGCCTGGTCCTGGCCTGCCATTTCAGCTCTCTCCCCGACTCCCCAGGGTGCACGCCCTGCGCTGTCGTGCCAGGCTGCTTCCTGAGGCTCCCACAGGCTGCACAGGGCTCTCCCCCTGAGCCTACCCGAGAACCCTACCCTAGTCCTACCTGTATCCAGCCTCTTGCTAAAGGTCTAGCTCAAGACTGGCCTCTGATGAAACTTCCACAAACATGTTAAATACACACTCCCAATAAAGACAGCAACAGCAAGAGCAGCAACAACTCTTGAGAATTGGGTGAGCCCAAAGTCTATTGTTTGGTGAGTAGACAGAGCAAGATGGCAGAAGAAGTTATTGCAACTGGGTTCTAGTTCTATTATAGCTGTGTCATTTCTGAGCCATTTGTGAGCAAATCACTTAATCTGTCTGATTCTGTTTCTGGAAAGAGCAGTGGTCTGACTCCTGCACAGTGCTGTTGCGAGGGCTGAGGCCCTGTGGGTGAATGGTGTAAATACTATGCAAAGGAAGAGTGTTCTTGTCCTTCTACTGTCTGGGTCATGCAGATGTTGACTTTAAAGCTTTACTTTCAATATTGTTGAAGTGGCTGTGGCTGCTGTCAGAAGGAGGTTGCAGCCTAACTGAAGATTGCTGTGGTGTGTAGGGACTGATTTTGTGTGACTGTCTCCTCAATCTGTCCAGGTTTCCCAGGCTCGGCAGGACTATCTAGAGAACCACATCCAAACCCAGTCATCTGCCCTGGATGATTTTAATGCCATGAACTCAGCCTTGGCATCAGATTCCATCGGCCTACAGGTACTGACCTGCTCACTGGTAGATGGGTCCCTCTGTTATAGGCCAACCCAACTTAGCCAAGTGTGGGCCCTGTCCCTTTGTAGAAGAGTGAGTCACAGAATGTCCTCAGCTCATTATTCAGAACCTTTTCAGCAGAGCTACAACAAAGACTGTGCCCAGAAGACGGCGAAGGAAGTTGAAGGAAGCATTTCCAAGCTGAGACTCCAAAGCTTTGTTTTTGCCCTCATTGAAATGGGGGTTTAGATCCTGTGTTCAGTGTGATGTCACTGGTTCCACCAGATGCCCAGGTGGTCCTCAGCATCAGTGCCCAGGACAGCATATCAGCCCCCTTCTCCCTCCAGCTCCAGTGTTACAGAAGTTCAGCCAATCACAGAAAAGACAGACGTAACCAAAGTCAGTCTGTACCCTTACGTGCAAGTCACTCCCAAAGGCCTGTAAGCACTTTTTCTTAATTTAGAAATTATTTTGCATTGGAAAGAATCATGTGTCTTTCAAAGAATGCCTTGTAGTAGCAGAGAGGAAAACAGGAAGACCCAGTCTCCTCCATTGGTGAAAATGTGTGTTGTCACCCACTTCAAGGGACTGTTGTCTTGATTAATTTCATTTGCTAGGAGCTAACCATTCAAATGCTCCCCACTCTTACTCTTCCAACCAAGTCCCCTATGAAACATGCAGATTAACTTGCAAATGTTCAAAACAAAGCATTGTATTTACTTGAAAAAAGCTTCCCTTGGCCTCAGTTTCCAAATGTAAGAACAATAGTTTCTGCCCCTCCAACTTTACTTGGCTCTTATCTTTTTACCCTCCTCTTAAAAGTTCCACAAATGATTTCAAATCCCTTCTGGTCCTATATAAATAATTCGCTAGGTAAACAAACACATTTTCATGTTGAGATTCTCCACGTCCCCTAGAGCCTGGTGTTCTCTAACAGCAGCTGACAGGCAGTGGTGACAACGGCAGAGCTGGGCCACTGTCCAAGAGTGGGTCTGGGTGGGCCCCGTGTTTGGGTTTGTCTGGGATGCCCATTTCTGGTGGGGCCCCCACCCTTTTCCTGGCTCTCTGTGGCATATGCCAGTTTCCCCCTGGCCTCCCGCCAAGGCCCGCTTTGGGTCTGGTTTACCCAGTAGCCTTTGTTTTCCCTTCCTCCTGTCATCAGGGAGCTTGCCAGCCTCCCTCCGCTTCCCTCGCAGGCAGACACAGCCCACTCCCAGACAACCAGGAAGGGCTTTACCTCACCTGAGTACAGAATTCATTGCTATCTATACTATGTGTCTGGTTTTTCTTTCCAGAAAAAAATATTTGCAAGCATTTTCTGGCAATTCTTCTGATTTGCCATGTGGCTGACACTCCAGGCATTGACCGCAGAGGTCAGCTCTTGGAAGGATCAGCCCCAACCCAAGCTCCCTGACTGATTCCAGTGTCTTAGTCCTAGGCATCCAAAGGAGCCTTCTAACTATTAGATTAAACATTGTTACCAGAGGTGGGGGTGGGGGAGGAACAAGGCGCCATCTCACAGCAGGAAACCCAGCCCAGTCTGAAGGTAGATCCAGGGTCCAGCCTCTTCCACTGGCCTATTCCACCCAGGAAGACCAGACCCTGGATTTTATTCCATAGAATATCAAAGCTAGAAAGAACTGTTGAGATGATCTCCACTCACTTTGTTTTATGGATAAACACACTGAGGCCAGCAGAGAGCAGTGACATGAACAAGGTGCCTCTAGTTAGTGACAGAGCCAGGATTAGAAGAGTCCTGCTCTCCTGGGCCAGATTGTGGGTTTTTGTACAGATGTAAGAGTAGTGTTTCTGAAGCCAGTAGGCTTGCGGGAGGGGATGACTGGGCTAGGTGGTTTCTAAAGCCCCTTGAAGCTCAAATGTTCTGTGATTCCATGTTTCCAAATGTCTTCAGTATTTCCTTTAATATGTAATTACTGCCTTCAGAAATCCTTTTTCCTGATTCAAGTAAATCTAGGAGAGAGAGTTTCATTATTGTCCAGCTTCTCAAGAGAGGTTTATTATTGTCCAAAGTGGAGGTTGAGCAGTTGGGGAAGCTGCAGAGTCTAATCATCTAACAGGGAAGACAAAGGTGTTGGAAGCCATGTCCAGCACCAGAGCCCCCCAGTCTTCCAATTTGAAGTTGTAGATGACTTGGGGGGGTGGTAGAAGGTTTTCCCCGCAACCCAGTGTCCAATGGTAGGAATTCTGTGGAAGCCATTTCTCCATAAGAAGAGTTAACCAAGTAGAAACCAAAGCAGTAAACAGCAACGTTATTAATTTAAATATTCTTGCTCCATTGGGTGGCCTGCAACAATAATCAACAGGATTTTGACACTTGTCAGGCACTTGTCTAAGTCACCAAGCTCTATTCCTTGGCACTTCTCTGTCACCACCCATCTCTGTGTGAGGGAGGAAGGTGAAGCATTTGCAGGCATGGGTGTGACTCCATCCGTGTTGTCACTACCCAGTCTAGACGTACAGAAGTGACGGCTCTTTTAAGAAAAAATGGGAATATCTCCATTCTGTAAAGCTCAGATTTTGTTTTCTGATTTCATTGTGTGAATTTGGAAAATGCAGAAAAAACGAAAAAGAAAATAAACATCCATAATCCTATCACATAGTAAAAACTATCGCTTGGAGTACCTCCCAGTCTTTTTTCTCTTATGAATAAACACGTATTTGAACAAATGCTTATACATATTTTTCAAAATGGGATGTATTATATAATACTTACTATTTTCAAACCTGTTTTTTTTTCCCATGTGAAATGAAATATTATGAGCACTTTTCCTCGGGAAGACTCCATTTTAATCCATTTCCATCCATCCTGAGCAGTGGCAAGTGGTGGTGACGACAGCTGTGGGGTGTTATGGCGGAGGCTGGCTGTCCCACCAGGCGGCAGGGGGACAGATCTCCTGACCACTGTGGGAGGTCCACAGTCCCTCGCACAGCAGGGGCCTAGGCTGGCAGCTGCCGTGGCCCGACATCTACCTTGGTGGTTAGTGTTAAAGGGATGTCCCAGTGCATGGCTCCAGCCGTGACTTTTCATATCACGAGATCTGGTTTTGTTTTTATTTTCATCCAAACAGAAAACCCTCGTGGATGTGACTTTGGAAAACAGCAACATTAAAGATCAAATCAGAAATTTGCAGCAGACCTATGAAGCATCCATGGCCAAGCTGCGGGAGAAGCAGAGGCAGTTAGAGGTGGCACAAGCTGAAAACCAGCTTCTGAAAATGAAGGTAGAGTATGTGAGCTCAGATTTCCTACTGACCTTTCTCTTCTCTCCTTCTCCTCTCTCTCCTCCCATCTTCAATGCTTCCATTTCTGGTTCTCCGTTCTCTTCTTGTGGCCAGCTCCATCGGGCTTGGCTCGAAGGCACTGAGGAGGTGTCTGTGTTCACAGTCGTCTGTCCAGATTTGGGGGTGCTCCATAAATGCCCCCAAGGGGCACTCCTGCCCTGGGCCCCAGTGGCCTCAAGGGCTACTGAGACCGTCCCATGGCATTGCCATTGCGTACTTCCACAGGCGGTTGGGATGCCCACAGGTCTGGGATTTCGAAAGCTTTGGAGATCTCTCCCTTCCTGTTTAGATTTTCTTTGAGGTCCCAAGGCATATTGTTCCCCGGTCCTTGGGCTCTAGCCCTTTCTCATGGAGAAAAGTGAGGGTGACTAAGGATTCTGGGGACGTTCCTCTTGCCTCCCAGGCTGTGTGTATTCCTTAGCTGGAGGCATTCGTGCCCCTCCCAAATTTGAAACATGGGTAGACTTTTTACCCAGTGGCAGGAGCAGACCCATAAATGGCTCATAGAAGGCACTTAATAAACTATATCCTGAATGGATTCTTTTTTATTTAAGTCTGTGGTTTTAAAATTGTGTTCAGCACAGGCTTAGGCTGTCTTATGGGTAGTGTAACCACATAATTTATTGCTCAAACCGGAATATGTTAGAAAGCGAAAAGTGGTGCTATTAATAATTTAGTTAGGGAAACCAACTAGGAGGTATGGTTCCCTCCCTGTGGGCTGCCTGAGGCGGGGCTGGATGGGGGTGGGGGGCTGCCACAGCCCTGGGGATCTGCCGGCACAGTCCTCATGGCCTGGCACAGCCATCCTGGGAAGCTGTAGAGTAGATCATCTCCCCTTTACTTTGACTTCGAACGGGCCAGCTCTCTCTTTACTATGTCATATATTGTATTTCTGAGTAAGAATTACTTTGAAAAAGAATTTGTTGCTGAAAAAGTCTGAAATTACTGATTTAAGTTTTTCCTTTTTTTCCAGCTTAGGAGCGTTATCCAATCATCCATTGCACAAGTATTTCTTGAGGGTCTGTTAAGTGTGTCTGTCCTGTTCATTCCTGTTTGTTCCAGAGGTGTCATGCCATCAGGCATCTGGGGACTTTGTTAGGTTGCTTCCAGGCCTTTAAGGCCAGCTAACAGTTGCCTGTTTTAGAGACTGATGCTTGTTTTTATTCAGACTAGTGGAGTTAAAGAGGTTTTATGCTACTCTTTGTCTTATTTTACCCCCAAATAAAGGAAGAGTCCCAGGGACTCAGGGTGTTCCACATGACCTGGATGCAGAGAGAACAGTTTGTTTGTTGGCTACCTAACCTCTGAGTACGAGAGACAGAGCCCTTTGGAGCAGTCTGTGTGTGCAGTGGACATCGAGTCCAGGGTGCACTGGTCTGTCTCAGCTAATGATAGCCTGTGCTCAGGATTTGCCATTGGGTCTTGGTGCCAACACTTGCCCAGTGATGAGAAGGGAGAATTAAAGGGCATCAAGAGAGATGTGTCACACCTTTGCTGTAAACATCATGTAACCTATTAAGGTTGAACAATACCTGTCGTATCCAGAGGTTAGGTAGCCAACAAACCCAGCCCTCTAGAACAATCAATAATGTGGAAGGAAGGGACAAGAGCAAACTTTCAGCAGCATAATGGCACGAAGTCCGCATGTGGGGACGTGGCCTGGGCCAACAGGAAACACCAGCCACCACCAACGTAGGCCCTGCCCACAGCTCCACGGACTTCTCACCTCCTAAGCTGGGCCTGCTCTAGCCACTGGGGGTGTCCACTTAGTGCTCCCCAAGCTAGGTTTGAGTGTTTCCAGAGGCAGCATTTAGGAAAGCAGAAAGACGTGGAAAGGATTTCTTATTTGAGCTCAACTTAGTCTTACCTAGAGACTGGCTTCACCAGTGCAGTGAAGGGAACTGCTTAGGGAAGGAGCTTTCTGCCCTCTGAAAAACTCACCCATATGAAGAGCCTTTGTCCTAGTGATGCCATGTGAATCAGTGCAAACGCCACTTTTTATTTTTCTGTGGCTCTGCTCTCCCCTCTTCCTTGTGTCGTTTCCCGTGAGTTCCTGCTTCTCTCTGCTACAGAACCCGGTGGGTGAGTTTCCCGCCTCTGTGAGTCCACACATGATATGTACAGGATAGAAGCAGCTGATTCTCCTGGAACCTGCAAATGCTGTAGCTCTGATGTGAGTCCCTTTGCAGGTGGAATCGTCCCAAGAAGCCAATGCCGAGGTGATGAGAGAGATGACCAAGAAGCTGTACAGCCAGTACGAAGAGAAGCTACAGGAGGAGCAGCAGAAGCACAGTGTGGAGAAGGAGGCTCTTCTGGTGTGTATGTTGTAGCTGCCAATGTAAGATAGCCAGGAGCCCTTGGTTCGTTATTGCTGGTGAGGTTTAAACAGTAGAGATTCTGCTTAGAGGCGAGTTAGTGGACTCCAGCGTGGGTGAGGGATCAAGGAATTATTCGTTTGCTCATTCACTTCCCTCTCTCTATCTCTCCCTGCCTTCGTTCGACCCCCTGCCTGCTCAGAAGAGCCCCCGATCTCTGTCTCTAAATACACGCCTTTCTCCAGCCCATCTGACCATTGGCCATCGTCCACGCAGGTCCTGGGCTTGCCTGCAGCTGCACCCTTCCTCTCTCCATTTGCCCCTTTCTCCCTGAAATTTCCTCCTCCCTGTCCTTGATCCTAGCTAAACTCCCTAAAAGCCACGACAGTGCCACCCTCTCCATGCATGAAGTCTCTCCCATCCACACAGCCAGAAGTGTGCTCTGTCCCTGGGAAGCTCTCTCTCTCTCTGCTCTTTGCTGTGGAATTCTCTTATGCCACTGTGTGTCTCACCTCTTGGTTTCTCTAGGACAGCAGAAGTTCCTTGAAGGCAGGGACGCCGTGTCTGGCTCACCTGGGTGCTTGGAGGCTAATAAATGTAAACGTGCTGAATGATTGGCTGGGTTTTCTCCTTTGGAGTGAGCTGATGCAGTGCAGTATGGGAGAAAGATCTGGGGATTTTGTATTCCATTCCGGATCTGGCCCTAATTCCCTTATGGCAAATGAAATGACACCCTGAGTATCTACTCAGTGTTATGTAAACACCATTTGACACCTTTTGGACAGGAGGACTCAAGGAAAAAAAGGAGACAAATTAACGGTGCCCATTAAAAAGCCACAGGCTGTGTCTTTATCCACAGGTGAGAACTAGAATCATGAAAGTTGGGTCCAGGATCTGTGAGACACTTACACGTCCCACAGTCATGCTTTTAAAGAGAAATCATGATTTATCAAGGCCTGTGCTGCATGGACCCTGGCGAGTAGCCTAGGTACCCCAGGCCTGCACTGAGGAGAGTGTGTTTCTTTTGCAGGAAGAAACCAATAATTTTCTGAAAGCAATTGAAGAAGCCAATAAAAAGATGCAGGCGGCAGAGATCAGCCTCGAGGAGAAAGACCAGAGGATTGGGGAGCTGGACAGGCTGATCGAGCGCATGGAGAAGGTAAGACGCAGTCTCGGCCTGTTGCCCACTCGCCCAGGCCACCATGCTGCCCACGTTCCCCTCAGGCCTGTCTGAAGGTATGAGATGCCCTCAACACTGATCCCTCTCCTCACTCCAATTTGTGATTAAAAAAAAAAAGACAAAACTACAAAATAAAGTATAAGGAAGTTCAACAGAGTTCTAATTTTTCCCTTGGTAGCTATTGTGATGCCTTTTTAAAAAATATTACGTAAGAAATTCTGTGCAAATATATTAATATTTTAGCAGCCCTGCTTTGCTGGTGTCCCAGACATGAACTTAGTTTACAAACCGTTGAGCAATCGAGTCCTATTTAGATGTTACATCAGCACTGCAACCCTGTTGTTTCTGGGGCGTGTGTCTCAAGGGTTGGCTTTTTTCTGACATGCCGGGGACCTGGAGGAGTGAGGAGGCCCCATTTCTCTGGGCTTGTGGTCAGCAGGCTGGTGGGTGGCCTGGGAACATCTGTGGAAGACAGGAGCTCAGCTGGGATCACGAAGCCAGGCCAGAGAGAGGGAAGGGGCTGGAAGTTAGGCAGGAAGTGGAGAAAAGGGGGGAGAAGTCATGGGAGAGACAAAAGAGGAAAGGAAGGGAAGGAAGAGAAAGAATGGGTAACCTTTAGCAGGTGACAGCTGACTTCTGGGGGACGGCCCAGGAGTTTAGGGCCAAGGCTGTGGCTACTTTCTGGAAAATGGCTCTCTAACTGCATATGAGCTTGGGAGAGAATGGTGACCTGCCACGACTGTGGCATTATTAGCATCCTGTAACTCATTCTGGGTGTGCTGAGAATCTCCACCCTGACGATGGAGGCAGGGGATGACAATGTGAGCAAAGTCACCGTCTGGGCTTCTGTGTGATGCTGAGAAGAGGTCTCCTTACCCCATCGTGTCTACAGTATGGACTCCTCTGAAGTCCCCTGACAAGGCGAGGCGTCACCAGAATGGGAACTGCATCAAATTCAATGCTTTGAAGCTTCAGAGCTCATCAGGGGCTCCTTTTTAGCTAGTATTTTTATTTGAGAGAGACTTGAGCAAACTAAAGAGTCGTTAACAATCTCACCTCTGCCCTTTGGGAAAACAGAATCCCATCTTTTCTTGAAGAGTAGATAATTGGCTCCCTTAGGACCAACATTAGTATTGACTAGGGTGGGTAGTGGTGAAGGTTGGGCAACAAGGGAGCTTTCTAGAACTTGGGTGAGCTTTCTCCCACTCTACCATTCTCCTACAATAGGAGAGGATGCTGGTTAACTCAAATGCTCTCTCTAAGTGACAGATACTCCTGTGGCATAAAGAAGCAAAGTGAGCAGGTAGCACAGGGGAGGTGGCTTGGGCACAAACATAGTGGTTTTAGAGTGTTTAGAATCAGGCAGACTTAGGGTTTGAGTCTTGCTTTTCTTTCTAGTTGTGGGCAGGTAGTTACTTGACTTTTCCAAATCCAGTCTCCTGCTCTGTAAAATGCTGATGATGATAGTTCTTATTCTTTGGACTTTGGAAGAAATAAATGAGAAAAATCCATGCTGAGTGCTAAGCACGGTACCTGGCGCATGGGAAGGGCTCAGTCATTTGTGGCTCTGACTTTTACTTTGTTACAGTCTTGCCTGAGTGTCTGCCCCCAGAGTCAGCTTTTTTTCTTTTTAGCTGGGCCCATTTTATAGCTTATCTTCTTGGTGCCCTTGGGGTTCTAGTTTCCCCACTGGTTTCCCCCTGGAACCCCTCCGCGAGGTGAGTGGGCGAGGAGCCAGGACGGTGGGCAGGCCAGCCCTCTCTGCCAGCCTTTGCTAACACAAAACTTTGTTCTCCAAGTAGTGCTGGCTGCTTCTTTAGTGGTTGAAAATTTATTGTTCTTTCTCTAAATCTTCCTTTCCATTTAGACTAGAGAAACGCTTTGTTTATTTAGCTGAGATTAGGTACACCAATTTACACTCTTTCCTTTTCATAATAAATCCTTGAGAGCAGGAATTCTGCCAAATCTCCGCCACACACTATGCGAACAGCATGGCCATAGGTGGGGACTGTGGCAGCGTTTGTGTCCTGCTCTCACTTACATTTGGATTTTGCTCGAGGACAAACCATGTACTTTTGAATGGCTTCTCTACTGTTAATATATACCTTAATTTACTGTTTCTCTTACTGAACGTTGTATTTGAAACACCTTTTTACTGATCAGTATAAATCTCTTCAGAAATGCGTTTTACCAGAGACCCTTCTTAGGAACAGATAATATTCTGTGCCTTCATCTGGGTGATGGTTTCACAGGTGTATACAAGTGTAAGAAATTATTGTGCAGCGTACACCTAAAATTTGTTGTACCTCAATTTGAAAAAGAATTGAGTTTTAAAAGTGCTTATAAGTTAGGCTTTGTCCTACTTTATGACAGTTTATTTAGGAGGTTCTCGCTCATGAAAGTCTCATCACTGTTGTTTCAGGGCTAATGTAAACTTCCAGCCAGTGGCGTGCCACACGGGGGCAGGGGCACGTTGCCCAGGCCAGGCTGTAAGAGTGTGTATTTGCTGTGGAGATTTAAAAACAATAGCAAAACCCCAGTAAAAGATGTTCTGCCTTTGTTATTCTAAATACGTCGGTGATGATACACTCTTCTTGGCCAGAGTGGACTGCTTGCTCCCTCATACCTCGGCCTACCCCTTGGTATTTCACGGGAAAGAGGTTTGGAATCTTTATAACTAGTAAGAATTTGCTGGGTAGAATTTCCAAACATAAAGATGAGGTACAGTAGTTCTTAGAGGAGGACCTAAAGTAAAATAATCTCCTCCCAGTTAGTGAGCAAGACTTGATAAACTTCCATTTTAAGGAAATTTATTATGCTAACATCTGTAACGTATTTCTAGTGCAATTTCCGTGATGATGGCACTACGTTTTTATTAACATTTTTCCACTTTGTCCAAAGAAGTAATCCCAGACTCTGACTTTTTTGGGTAGACTTCTAAACTGACATATATACAACAAAGTGTGCAAAGTACACAGCCTCATACCTTCATGCTTCCTGTTGCTGCTGTAACAAGTTACCACAAAGTGAGTGGCTTGAAACAACACGAATTTATTATTTTAGATTTCTAAAGGTCAGAAGTCCTAAAATCCAGGCATTGGTAGGGCTGGATTCCTTTTGGAAGCTCTAGGAGAGAACACATTCCCCTGCCTTCTCACTCTTCGGCTGGTGGCCTCATCCTCTAGCTTCGGAGCCAGCAGCAGGGCACCTGCCAGTCTCTGTCCCCAGATTGTAACCTTACTGCCTTTTTCTTATGAGGACCCAACTGCATGATCCAGGATAATCTCCCCACGTTAAGATCCTTAATGTAATCACATCAGCAAAGTTCCTTTTTCCATGTAAGAGAACATGCAGGTTTCAGGGATTAGGATGTAGACATCTGTAGGGGGCCATTATTTTGACTAACACAACACATTTTCACAAGTGAACACACCTGGATAAATGCTACCCAGGTTAGTATATAGGATATTCCCAGAATTCCAGAGCCTCTTTTCTCGATGATTCAGAAAATAATAAAGAACTTTATAATACCACCAGCCACTGATTTAGAGTATTGATTATCATTATTTAGAACTATAAGTTTTCACAAGACGTCTGAGCCTGATTTATTTTAAAAATAAATCTTGAATGGTTTTATTGAGGATATTTGTCTCTAATTCATAAATACATCTAGCAATACACACCAACAGATCTGGTACTTTTGAGCTTTTGTTTGAGCTCTGGGTGAGCAGACATGTAAAACCCAGGGAGTATTATATAGACTTGGACTCCCTAGTGCTAGGATTGCTTGTATACATTCTCTGTCCAACTTGGGTTCCATTGATTGAAAAATCAGTTCCTGTTTGTTTTAGGAACGCCACCAACTCCAACTCCAACTCCTAGAGCATGAAACAGAAATGTCCGGGGAGATAACCAGTTCTGACCAGGAAAGGTAAGACGTTGATGCCCTTTGTCTTGCAGTAGATTTAGATGGTGGACACACTGTGTTTTTGTGGGCTCCTTTGTCCTTGCATTTTCATTCACGTGGTTGTCGCTTATAATGAACTTATACACGTATAACACTGGTCTGGGAGCTTCCACTATGGAGTGAATTTCTTTAGAAGCTCACAGCCATGTCGTACAGCCCACGGCCAGTGGTTAGTGCAGTGGAACATACCAAAGACTCTCACAAGTGCAAAAGTTCAGTCTATAAATGTTCTCCATAACCTTGAATTCCACAGGATACACCTTGTTTTCATCAACTATGACTCATACCATTTGTCCTGGAATCTAATTTTAAAATGTCTGTCTTTGTATCCAAACCTTGCTTAGTGAAACTTGTCCTATGGCTATGAGTATATAAAGCTTTGTGTAAAAACTATGGGAGTAGCATGTGGTCTCTGCTAGAAATCAAAAGGCAGAGAAGCCATGCACAGCTCTCCAGTGAAGGAAAACAAGGTTGGGATGATTTGAGTATTTTGGGCAAGTTATTTAACCTCCCCGAGAGTCTTGCTTATCTGTAACATGGAAATTCTTTTTCAAAGGGGGAGAGGGTTATGGTGAGAACAGTGCCCACCTCATTGGGTTATTATTGTGAGGGAACTGTTGGGCGTGCTGCCTGCCACTTAGTAGGTGCTGAAAAAATGCCTGTTTTCCTTCCCATTGGCAGCCTCAGAGTTTTCAATATTCAGGGGGCTCTGCTGGTCTTTACTATAATGCTGAGAAGGGACCTGGCAGAGAGAGGAAGTGGGAAATAGACTTCCAGACTCTTCCTCCGGTGCCCTGCTCCCGCAGCCCCAGAGAACTGAAGAGTCCATCTGTTGCTTCCTTTGGTTTCTTTGAACCAAGCAAAGTCAGAGGATAATTTGTGCTGTTTTAGAAGTATGGACTGTTTTGTGATGTGGCCTGCTCTATTTAGATGCCCATTTACCCAACTTGCTCAATTTGTTCCCCACTTAGCCCAAATAAATCACGTGTAGAGCAACTGTGATTCCAGACTTTCCAGGGCTCTGCCATTGATTTTGATATTTTGTTGTGTTGCTAGACCCCTGCTTCTCTGTCCTTGTAATCCAGGTAATTTATTGGATGTTCCTGTGTTTTATTAACCCCCAAACAGAGAGCCTCTTGTATCTGTAAGTGGTGCACAAAGTGACTGTCCTTATACAGGCTAGAACTTGCAAGTGGGAACTTGCAAAAGCGTCGTAGACTCCTTCTCTGGTGGGGTGGTTGGTAGGTAGTTAATCACCTGGGATACACGCAAAGTAAGACGAATGCATCTTGGTGTTTCATTTCTTGTTCTTGGCGTTACTCTTTAAAGCTGTGACTTTTTACGCTGGTGTTGCTGCTTTGGTTTAGGACTCGTTTGCTATTTTCTTCTATTTGTGTTAGGTATCAGCAGCTGGAGGAGGCATCGGCCAGCCTCCGTGAGCGCATCAGACACCTAGATGACATGGTGCATTGCCAGCAGAAGAAAGTCAAGCAGATGGTTGAGGAGGTGAGCACTTGTGAAAGGCTGTGGGTCCAGGATTGCTTCCTGTGGTGGGGGAACGTCAGCCCTGGAACAGACCCCACTGTCCACTCGGTTTCCTGTGGCTCAGAGTGAACTCGCCCAGCCACTGCCATCTTGGCCCAGAGCCGGATTTCCTCGTTGGTACCATGTGGACTGAGGATGACCCCTCTAAGATCACAGGGTACAGTGAGGAAGCTGGGAAATGATACCCTATGTGGGTGCCCACAGCACAGGGGACGAAAGGGTGTGATGAGCAGGTTGATGTTAGCTCAGGTCTCTGCCTCCTCCCACCTGCCTGCCTCTCTCTCCCACTACCACTCGTGTCCTTTCTCGTTTTCTGGGGGTGTCTTTCCATCCTGTCTCTTTCATTTCCACTCCGGTTCCTTGTTTGTTCTCTCTCTTCTTCTCCCTCCCTCCTCATTCTCGTCTCCCACTCTTGTTTCTTCTTCATCCTTTCTCTTTTCCACCGTGCTTTCTGTCCTTAACTCCCTCTGTAACAGGAAACCAAGTTCTGTATTTACTGGACCGGGCATACTTTACTATTCTGTTTTTTCTAAATGATAAAAAAAGGAAAACCCCAGGTAAGTCGAACATTTATATTTCTCTAAGAGGGAAAAAAATTGTTTACACTTGTATCAATGTAATCTACCTCTCTTTCCTATGGAGGTGCTCAATAGAAGACTGTCTGAGCTGTGGTAAAGCTAATCACGTTATCATAGTTTCTTCTTGCTCAGTTAAAAAATCTGATGGAAACATCTGATAGAAAAAGAATAGTACTAACAGGGTTATAAGCATTTTCTTGGGTCTAATTCTCTGGCAAAGGAAAGAAAAGGGTTCAATTTCATTAAATATTTGGTTGGCAGTGGAAAACTGAAAAAAAGTTTTCCTTATATTAAGCACTACTCTAAAATCGTATCTGTTTTATTCATGAATTATTAAAATTAAAAGTATATATACTTCTAATAAAAAATGTGTAGACATGATAGACAAGTAGAAGATTAAAAGTGTATCTATTTTATTAATCCATTAAATGTGGGAGATATTAGCACGGTGAGAGAATTGTGAGGATGGGGAGGGATACCTTTCATTATTGTGTGGAGGATAAACACCCAATACATTAGATAAAGTCTTGTCCCCAAACTAGAAGTTCTGTCATAATGTGCTGAATCTTATACACCTTATATTGGTTCACACTCAAGTTTAGAGGGAGCAGTAGGATAGCAGAGGAAGCCGTGTACCACCTTTGAAGTCCCTTTGTGCGCCCAGGCAGGAGCACCACCCACGACAGTGATGGGAGAGAGATCCCACCCAATTGTCAACACTAGGCAGATGTCAGGAGTGTGTTTCCCAAGGAAGAGCATCGCTTTGTCATAATTAGCATCTCGGTGAACCTTGGCTGTCAGAGCATAGGTTTTCTGCTTCTGCTTTCCGCACACATGAAGTTTGGGGCAGGGGCAACCCCTTATTTTCCCCCATGTGACTCCTTAACCAGGGGGGGCACTACATTTTTTCACCTCACCAAAAGGGGTGTCTGTGTTGTTCTTATATCTAATATCAGAGAACCATTGAACAAAACCTCATACTAGTTGGCTTCTGATTCAGTTAAACCCTTATCTGTAAGGGGTTAAGACTGGTACTAAAATCAGAGACACTTTTTTTTTAAGATACTTTCAAAGACATTAAGAATTCTCTATTTTCTAACCTACTTCCAGAATATAACAAACATATCAATTTGAAAGGGGATATGTGTGTATATATATATAAAACATATACAAACATGTGTATAACATGCATTATACATATGTGCGCATATATATATATAAAATAGGGATGCTTATACAGATTACTGCTCATGCCTTGCTTTTCTACCTGTGATTTCGTATCTCCCAAATAAGCTTCTCTAAATTCTGATGTGTGGTCTGGAAGACCCAGTCATTGGAATGAAATCATCACCTAAAATTTAGGATGCCACCATCAGAGTTGGCACCACCTAGGGGCTGGCTGGATTTCAACCGTGAATGGAGACAGAAAAAAAAAAAAGAGAGAGAGAGAGAGACTTTTTATTCTTACACTATCTAAATCAAGTAGTAAAAATTATTGTGTTTGTCCCGTATACCATGTCAACTTACACAAGAAAAGGATGGTTTAAAACCTCAGTTGTTACAGCCATTTATGTGACTATGAGAAACATGGAAAAAGGACATTGACAAATGAGCACATTCAGAAGAGCAGGACCAGGCTGGAAAGGAGCTGAGAACTCTAGTAATTCAGGGGATGGTGGAAGGAATTGGGACGGATGGGAGAGCTGAACCCACATGTTAGAAAACGATCCCGTTCAAGAGGGAATATACTTTTGTTTTGAATTTCGATGCAAAGCCAGGCCAGAACCACTGGGTGGCACTTTCAAAGAGGCAAATTGCAGCTCTTCATTCAAAATAAAGAAAACAGTTCTAATACTGGCTGCCCTGGGAAGCTATTTAGCCCTTCATCAAGGTACCTTATTTATGATGTAGGAAGTTGATTTAGAAGCTCTCTAGTGTTCCTCCAAAATTCTGTGTTCTGTACTCTGAAGGACGATGTGGAGGAAACCTGGTGACTTTGGTAAGTGTTCCTTATATAAAGAACTCTGTTGTTCACTACGCTGTGCCTGTTGTTATGATCTCAGCATTATCATTACTTACAATGAGCAACATCAGCAAATTATTATAATTAGATCACTTCAGATCACTTGGACCACATTTTGAAAAATCTGGACTACTGACTGGTCACTTATCAATCTTGAACTCTGACTTTAGAAGAGAAGTATATTTTTGTGAACTCTGGCTACCCAGGCACAGAGGCAGCCTTTAACTGTAGCGGATGTTAGGGACGGTTTTCCTTTCCTCACATGAAGTCTGAAAGCTCATCTGCATCATAGCCTCGCATTCACCAGGGACAGGAGTCTAGTCTCCATCATTGCTGGTATCATTTTGGTCATAATGTCCGTGAAGAAACTTAGTTTATTCAAATCATGGGCTGCTTTTTTCAGCTCATAATTTGCAGGTATTACTACTGAGGTTCTTGGAATCCCTAGATGTTAACCAATATATTTCTTCCCACCTTAGTATAATATCATTTCATAATAATAATAATAATATTAAACTGAATAGAAAGTAACTGGCCCAGGTTTCACAGTGCTTAGCTCATGAATGGCCTGATTTGCACCATGTCACACAGTTAGGACTTGTGCTAGGTAAGAAGGGCGTGTGGCGGATGGGCCCTGTTGAAATGAAGGATTAGTACATACCTCCGTCGCTGGTTCTTTCAGCTGGTTCTGGCTCTGATAAGACAAAAAAAAGCAAAACCAAAAGAGCCTCATATATGTCCCTTTTAGACTTTTTAAGGGTTTGCTGAAAAATACAGAGAAATACCAAGGGAATAAGAAAAAAGAGCACTCAAGGGGAAATTCATTCATTCATCCATTCGGCAGGTGCTCACCAGCACCTGCTCTGTGCCAGAGCCCTGCGGGGAGCCGTGCAATAAGGTCCCTGCCCTCATGAATCTTGCCCTCTGGTGTTACCGAGGAGTCATGCTTGCCTTGGGCTTCGTTCATGTGTTGAAAAGCCCCGTTGGGGTTGGTCCTTGGCCTTGAATCAGGCTGGTTGCTTAGATTGCCAGGAAAGGCCCCAGGAGAGCAGGGAGGAGGGAAAATCTGGAGCGATCCCGAGGCCAGAGCAGTGCTCCAAGCCCATCTTTAAGTGTGACTTCATCAGTCAGCAGGGCCATCCACACCTCTTTACCTGCTGTCCCCAAGGCCCAGGCTGCTGCCAGCCAGAGAGCTTTCCCACCGAGGGGAAAATGATCTGGAAGAAAAAACAAATTCTTATTTGCCCTCCAAAATTTGGGTGGATTTACATTTTTGCCGGTGGGCAGTGATATAATTCAGCTGAATAAGTGGTAATTTAATAAGAGTTCCTTTACTGTTTTCCAGTTCAACCATCCTTTCATTTTACCGAGTCTTTCTTCTGATTTTCCCATTGCCATTTGTAATATGGGAAATGTTTCTTCCAACAAAGTGTTTCTGAAGGGAGTTTTTTTTCAGTTGCAGAGATGCATTATTTCTTTAGACTTCTGCTGAAAGCAATTGCACTTCACCCCCACCTTGCTATAATTTAGATGTTTAATAAGTGCAAAGGTGCAAGGAATTGATTTTGTCCTTAGTGCTTCTCCAACCAGGCTGCACATTAGAGTCACCTGGGGAGCTTTAAAAAATGCCTGGACCTGGCAGATACGGGTGGAGGCAGACTGGATACTGGAGGGGGAGGGGAGGTCGTTTGTTTTTTCAACTCCACAAGTGCCTCCAGTGTGTAGCGAGGACTGAGAACCGATGCCCTGGACTCTCGGTCAGGGCAGTGGCATCGTTCTCCTTGCTGGGTTCATGGTGTTCATGTGTTTGGCCAGCATTCCCCTGAAGCTCCTATTCCTGAGGTGGGAAGCTGATCGTGAACTCGGAGTAGGCAGTGCTCCACGGAAGAAAGCCAGGGAGACCAGCCTCCGGGGGCCAGGAGCACAAGTGAGAGAGCTGGTTAAAGTCTGTGACTGTCTGGGCCCTCTCAGGGGACTTTACTTCTTGCCAGCCCCCGGTCCTCGGAGGATCCTGTGACAGCTTACTCTTAGTAGCTGTACTGGCCTGGCAGTATACAGGCAGGAAAAACTTCCCAGAGCTCTCCCTGTCCATCTGGAGAGAAGGTGTTGCTAAGGGAGGATGAGATAACACTTGTTAAGCAAGTGTTAGTAGAGATTTTTAAAAAGACAAAATCCAATTCACCTAAATTCTTGGAAGCTGGGAACCTACCACTAACAGACAATAACTACTTCTCATGGGTCCTCTTCCTACTATGCAATTATGTGCGTGCCTGCCCTCACCCCGGTTTAAATTATCCACTTCTGTCTATACAGAAGACCTTACGCTTGGCCACACCGTACCTCTTCAGAAAGAGAAGAAC